AACTATTATGTGTGCAATAAACACATTCAAACTACAAACACAGTAACTTTAAACGCCTTTATGTTATTTCTTGAAAGGACCGTGATGATGCTGTCACGTCCTCCAGTGGTCTTGCCATTGTAGTTGATCAAGAAACAGCCACATTTATCACGTGAGACACTCCTTGAGCTAGAAGCTGTCCAAAGTGTTCTCGTAAACCAACTGATCACAATCTGCCTTTTCCGCACTACCAGCTTCAAAAACAGGAACCGCGATCCTTGATAGATCTAGTTTCAGAGACCTCCGTGTCCTTCGAAGTTCAGGAGAAGAAGAGGAAAAAAAAGAAAGGCAGAGATGCTAACCCGTCTAGCACGAATGATATGCTACCCTACAATAGGGACAAGAATGGTGGAGTTTCAAAGACTGAAAGAGAGAAGAGCACCTGCACTTGAAGTCGCACGTAACAGAAATTATAACACTATTAGTCTGTAACCACCAGTCCAAGTTCTTTGTCTTCCAGAAGCTGAGGACTGTTTTCGTTACGTTCACTCGCGATTACCTCCCTGTACGACAATCCAGAATGATGTCTGCGGCCATCAGTCGGCAATGTATGCAAGCTTGTGAAGTGATTTTGTGAAGCTTGTGAAGTGAGTTGTTTTCCACCACTCTAATGAAGGCCCAATCAAGTGATGTACACTAGGGGTACATATGTATGCGAGTGCTTCACCACTTTTGTTATGTTTTATCTCTTTTTTGCGTGTGTTGTGTGTGCATGTTTGTGTCAGCGTCTGCGCATGTATACTCGGATCTGTGCTCGAAGAACGGAGAGCAAAAAAGCGCGAAAGAGCCAGAGACACAACGAGAACAGCGAGCGAAGAGGAGTGTGCGATTTGCGAGCGACTTGAACGGCTGTGCGTCACGCATTGTGCGGTATTGAGCGGTTGTGTGAATGATAATGTAACTTAGATTTCTTAATTAAATACAAGCTTCTTTTTTAACATTTTTAACAGCGTGTGAGTCGTGCGTTGCGTCGATCATATTTCACCTCTTATGGCAATATCAGCGACACCCTAATATTTACCAAAAGCGGGACATTCATCAGAAGTGGGATTAGACCAATTTTAGGAAAGGTTAAGAACCAGTTTGAAAAATCAATGGCGAGGACTGCGATCGCGTCAGTGTGAGAACAAAGAAAAGGTGGACTTCTGGTGAGCGTGCACTTCCAGTGAGATGACATCAGCCATGCTGGACGGATCCTCGCCGGAGGAGAGTGGTGATGCAGGACAGGCAGCAAGTGCTGTCTGTCCTGCATGCGTTATTATGCAAAGCACAATTAGGCATTGCCGTGGGATATCAGGAATCAGAGACATGCAAGAAGAATTCTTCCTATTATAAATGTGTAGAAACGCGACGGTCTCCAACTTTTCAATACAAATATGCCCGCTTGCTGCCGTCACTGAAAAGTTCTTAAATCTTATCTATATAGGCCACTGACAGCCAGAATTATTTTTCAGTTTGTGTCCCCTTGGATGCATAGGTTATCTGCAAAGAACATTTTTATGTTCTTCCCACTGCTGAATTTTAAGAAAACCATAAAGCTAAACTTTGAACACCCGGTATATTAGTTATACATTCAGGTGCGCACTCGACCCACAGAGGCTAAGAAGGTTATGACTAAAAGCCGGATTTATAGGCACTGAAACACAGGGTTTTAGCCGCCCGAGAGAAACGGCCAAAGTACTCCTTTATGCTTTAAAATGGTAAATATAGGTGCTATAAGCAATAAAAAAATTTCAATTTTCGAAAAAAAAATACGTCTGCCATCTGTGTCTATGACAGCAAAGCAAAGAAAAACGTTTAGTTCATGATTTTTTGGGGCGCCAATTCTTGAGCCATTTATTGAGTTGCGGGTTCGCAGAATAGGGTCTTTTCTTTCATAGTCTAGCATGGTAACTTAGGTGTCCACCGTCAAATAAACATGCTCTTGGGTCTTTTTTTATTTTCGGCATGGATGTAAAAGACTGCACAGGAGCAAACAGACTGGCCGCTTATAGGCCAGAAGAGTATTTTAGCCTCGTAATAACTTTGTATAACTGCACAGGGTCAATCTTTCTTCTGTATGTGTACCCCTTATAACGCCCTTCACCAGCTTTGAAAATTCCAAGTAGACAAGAGCAATGCATCCACTGGGCACTCAAAATCTCATCTGCCAAGATTTGTAATCCTACGTGTCGTAAGAGGTGAAATGTCAGACTGAATGTCACTTGACCTTCAACTAACGGGTGTGCGCCCCAACATGGAGGAGGAGGCGTATACAAGGAACGGTCCTGCGTACGTGATTGTAGTACGCGGAATCATGACAAATATTTGAAGTGACATGTGTAATTTGTGAACCTGTTGCTTGAACAGAAATATGAAGGGAGTGAAAGTAGTAATAAAACATACAAACAGAACCTATGCACATTCTTTATTTGTTTTTATACTTTGTATGGCGTTACATGCAAGACTAAGTTGCCTGTATTTTGTTTGCTTTGATGCTCTCGCTATTTTCACACCGTGCCGGTATCTGTCCTGACAATGCCTGGCATGTTTTAGGTGCGTCAACTCTTAGAGCAGTTCCAGAGGTGCAATGCTGCAGCTGTGTATGTTGGTAAGGATACATGGTCTATACCAGCCTCTCCAAACGTACGCGCATACAGAGATCCATCCCACAGAAATAGGCAGTATGATACAAAGAACGTCGAAACGACACAACACCGCTGCTTAGCCTGGCATGCGCATGACATGTGAATGTAACCTTTCGGGAGCATAGTGGCTGATGAGTCGGCATCGTGTGATCTTCCAGCTCCCGAGTTTTAAAAGGGAAGAACTACGCTGGGCGTGTGGCAAAGGCTTCAAGTTCACCCCCTCGCATTATGCCTTCGCAGCTTGTATTGAACCAATGGAAAAACGCTAGCAGAGCAAAGCCTTTCATTGGGCATGCATTAACTTCCAGTGCCTGATTAAAACTTCCCATGTGACATATCGTAAAGCACCGTTCAAGAAGTGACAAACAACAACACGTTGCACAAACAGTGCCTTGGGCACTGTTTATGAAATTCCCCTGAGCTGTGGCAAGGTCTATATAGGCCAGACAGGGCGCTGTACAAATGACCATTTAAGGGAGCATTCTTTATCAATTAGGAATTAGGACCGTTCAAGGGAGCATTCTTTATCCATTAGGAATCAGCACCGTTTAAGGGAGCATTCTTTTTCAATTAGAAATAGAAAGGGTTTCATTTGCCTTTCCACTATGCTTCGTGTGGCTGCACTACGCAGTTCGATCGTGCGCGACTACTTGGAAGGAGCCGGGATGCGCTGGCGTGGGAGTTACTCGAAACCTTTCCCATAAGGAAGAAAGGTGACTCGTGCGTCAGCGTGCCTTCAGTTTTGTTGCATAATAGTGAATTCCAACTGTTAGATCTAGATGTACTTTAGATGGTTGCTACAAAGTGTCTGCCAGTTTTTTTGCTGTTTTTTACCTCGCATTTTTCGCGAAGGCAAGGGTGTGTTTGGTTTTTTTTGACGTCATTACATCAGATATTTCTGTTTATTGCTGCTTCCCAGATATTATGAATCCAATAATCGTTTTTACATGATTAAAATGTTCATGTCTGCATGTGCGGTGAATGAAATGGTCTGTACTTGTCCTCCAAAAGCCTATATATTGTGAATGCTTCTTAAAAATAAACTTACTTGTGAGTTGGCACTCTTTCTGTCTCTTCTCGTTCTTCTCTTTGGCAACCTTGCATCACTTTCGTCCGTCTAATATGTACCAACTAGCCCACCATAACGTACTGTTAAGACCACGTGGACACATTTTTTCTCTGATGGCACTCCACTATTTCTCAGTAGTCCTCCATTATTGTGCGGCTGCAAAGAAGCCCCTGCTGTTTTATACGCATGAGAGCAGATCCCAGCGAGAAGCCGAGCAGACCCGATGCAGATGAATTCATGTATATGATCTAATACACCTTCTTATATGTCAAGAGGCCTCGTAGCCTTGATAGTGTCGAAAGAAACTTATGAGATGAAGTACAAGTTGCATCTCATCATGTTACAAAAGCTCACTTTTGCCTGGTAACATGACTACCGATCTCCAACTGTACTAAAAAGCAAAATTTTAGGTTGAAGAGCGTTCGTAAAGGCACCGACCCTGAAAACAGTCATTCATAGGCACCTATAGGAATTTAGGCACGAACAACAACAATAGGCATTAATAGTGTCACGGGGTCAGAGTAGGCAGAGGGTAGAAATATATTTACAGAGTTTACACGGAGTGAAGAGTGTCCTTAAACCAAGATGGTGGAGCGGCAACAACACACAAAACACGAGCTTTTGTTCAATCATCATCTTTGTCGCCTTTATGGTGTATTTGTTGATGTTAATGATGACTGGTATCAATAGACTCTACAAAAAATATAACAGCTCTTCTCAATTTATCATTCATGCTCATATATCAAAGGGGCACGATAAGAACGCAAGTCGCTAAATAGGCATTTGTATAAAATTTGGTCTCTTGAATTAGAATACTACAGATGAAGCCAGCAGTTAGTCGCAAGGCTGCCCCTCAAGAACTGCGTGGCAACAACGTATGGTTCGTGCATTTAGAAGTTGCAACAAATGAAATAGATACTAGAATACGCTGCTGAAGTTTCCGCCGACCTGTATGAAACATATACGACATTATTACCTTCATTACCAGGAACCCAAAATAAATGGAATTATTTCGCCCCTTCCTGAACCAAAATTAGAGCATAACACACAAAATTCCCCAAAGAAAAACCACATTACACAAACGAGCATTGATATGTACATGTCGGTCCTCGTGTGTTTTCTATTTGGGGCACATTGTGTGTTTGCGCTGTTTATTTCAGTTCAGGATTATGCACCGACTAGGCCCGAATGAAGAATTATTGTATTTCAATAATATGCACATGCAGTCTTAATCAGCTCTGCCACAACAGTAAAGTCACACCAACCAGTTGCAATTCCATCAAACAGGGATAGCACGCGCAAGCTCTGCCGAGGAAGCTGCTCCAGGACAGGAGGGGTCACAGCCTGTGGATTCCGGAAGAACTGATTCACACGGGCCTCCCAGTCAGGCCGCGGCCGAAGGCGACCAGCTGAACGCCCTTGGCAGATGTTGCAGTGCCAAGGAGAGCACCTGGTCACCTGTCCAATTGAAAGCAGGAAAATAGCATCACTCTCTTATGCTGTACTCTAGTAGGTTTCCGGAGTTTTTCGCTAATTTACGATAACATGCTCATACGTCTAAAAATATCAGTGTTTTGATGGCATCCTGAGCATGTAAGTACCTTGTCAGGTTCCTTCTCACCGACAAGTCGCTCTAAGCACTGGGAACAAATGCACCTGAAAAGAATCAAAATGAACAGGTTTACATTTATGTCTTCAAAGAAGTGTAGTTACTCAAACTTTCACTATGTTTTGCAGTGCATGTAAGGATGTGAAGTTCAATATTACAGACATGTTATACATGAACAATTACACAAAAGGAAGGCTTATGTTCCTACACAAACAATCATTCTATAGTATGCAGAGTTTGCACTGTGTACTATGCGGAATGAAAAAACATCGTCATGCACCCTATTGGCACGCCATTTCCTGAATACATTTAGCCAGGAAACAAAAACCCTGCCAAATCGAAGATACTTCTAAATTTGAGAGTCTTCTCAGTATCATCAACAAAAGTGACACTGGCTGCAGTAGCATTATTAGTGGCACAGCAATGTGGCTTTTTTTGCTACACTTTAGTGCTGCAACAACATCTTAATTAGGACTTTACATTAACGAAATACGTCGGCACATACTCCTCTTTATCCCCTAACAATCAAGCACCCATGACCTCGATGGACCATTGTTCTCACAACAACATAAGCGACAATTCTCTGTGATTCTCAGCAGTCTAGTTGTCATCACTTTTCAGGAAGGGTGACCTGTCTTTGCATCGTACTTCCTTTGCAGTCAAGCATTGACAGGACCACTATACAGTGCTTTCTTTAGCCCGAGTCAGACCTGTTTTTATTTCTAAGAAGAGGTTAGCCTCCTCTCTGCTCTCGTTCGTAATATCCATACAGGCATTTCTTATCACTGCAAAACTCAGATTTCCGACATGTATCGCAAAATCTCAGTTGGAATTGAAGCAAAGTACTCTTATCAGCACAGCTATGTATTGTTAGTCTTAAAAGCTTTCCGTAATTACTGTTGAGACAGAACGTGAGAAAATGTACACACTCACCTGCCGCAATCCACATTGTCGCAAATGAATGTTTCGTCGCCATTCCCGCAGATGAGGCAATATGCCTAAGAAAACAGTACAATTGTTGCCACGTGAAAATGGTTGTTTTTCATGTCTCGGGGAGATCATTTTGGCAAGTTTAAACGGTACACCAGCATGCAATGCAGCATACCAAACTTTGCACAATGAAATGCTCTTTCCAAAACATATATATTGTCAAGCAACAAAAACATTTGCAAATAAAACGAAGAAAATTCAGAATATACAATTTTTAGATGAATAATCTAGGAATCGTATAAAAATAACGCACAAAATATTTCTCTTGAAATAGATACTGAAAATAAAAAGTGAAGGGCTGCTTCATTGCTCGTGTCTTGCGGTGAAGTATCACATGGTTTTTCGTGAGGCAGAAGTATACTCCTTCACTTTTCGCAGTAATTGTTTTGTTGTTTTGTGATGAACGTCTCAAGGCGTTCTAATGTAGATTGATACCCGTGATGCAAATAATACCTCTATAAATGAGACGTCCTATGAACTTCACCATTTTATCTCGCGTCATCTATTTCCACGAGCCAACTCACTCAGCATAGGTTGGCGTTTCAATATATTGTCCCGATGCAAACACAGCAAAGTCGGATATAGGAGAGCTCACTTTAGTTATACACAAGACACTCGTAAAGAGGACTGGGCAAGAACTTGTCTTCCTTTCTTGCGGCGCGAGCTCTTCTCTGCAGGTTGAATGGGGCATTTGCCTCCCTCCCGGAAGAGTATCGTCCCGATGCTGTGCGACAAAATACACAGTGTATGTAGTTGACGTATTATGCAACTGGCTCAGTGCAATATGGCTTCATCCGCAAAACGTGTACGATTTCAGATTTTCGCTGGCGAGTTCGCGAGGAACTGTCAGGGATGACCTCATAGTTCACGTCACTTAGGCGCCATACAACATTGTAGGAACCAAAGTATTTCTTAAGTAACTTTTCAGAAACGCCGCGTCGGCGGATAGGGCTCCAGACCTACACTTTCTCGCCTGGTTGATAAGTGACGTATCGGTGTCGCAGGTTATAACGCCGTACGCCGTAACTCTGTTGCCGGGTCATTCGCACGCGTGCAAGCTGCCGCGCCTCTTCAGCTCGTTGGGTAAAAGCTTGAGCATTGGTGTCTGTATCGTCGCAGTCGTGGAGCAACATAGCATCAAGCATTGTCGTCACTTCACGGCCATAAAGAAAACTAAATGGCGTGCTTGGGGTAGTTTCCTCCTGCGCTGTATTATAGGCAAACGTCACGTATGATAGAACGTCGTCCCAATTGTTATGATCCATGTTGATGTACATACTCAGCACATCGGCAATTGTCTTGTCGAGGCGTTCTGTTAATTCCGTTGGTTTGTGGGTGGTAGGAGGTAGTTTTTTGATTCGCTGTTCCACTGAGCTCAAGAACTGACTTAAAGAGCATGACCGTGAAAGCGGTATCCTTGTCCGTTATTACAATCCTAGGAGCACCACGCATCAGAACAGATAGTTTCATGAAAAATCGTGCCACTTCTACTGTGGTTCCGCTCGATAATGCCTTTGTTTCTGCTAGCAAGTAAGATAGTCGATAGCGACAATTACCCACTTTCTTTCAGCATGCGAAATTGCAAATTGTCCAAGGAGGTCACTTCTGATTTGTGCAAAAGGCATGGTGGGCACATGAACTGGCTACTAACAACCCGGCTGGTTTTAAAGGTTGCGATTTTCGTCGTTGATAATCAAGGCCCGTGCGGACGTAATGCTTTACAGTGCCTGGAAGCTTCGGCCAGTAGTACTTCTGTTAGATTCTGGCCAATGTGCGCGTGTATCTGAGGTGGCCGGAGGTTGGCTCATCGTGGCAAGCGCTCAGGATCTCATCGCGACTGGATGTCGGAACGACAAGTAAGTGGGCACTTCCACTGGAGAAAATGTTCTTCTTATAAAGGACACCACTGCGCAAGCAGAATAAAGGCAGACTCTTTACAAATATCTTAGGAACTTTTGTAGACTGGCCGTTGAGAAAATTATTAAGAGGAAGCAACTCGCTGTCTTCTTTCTGCTTAGACGAAATAGTGACCGTGTCGACCATTCCTAAAAACACCATGTCATCCTATTCTGAGATATCTTCTTGCTTCATAGCCAACCTGGATAAGCAATCAGCTTCAGAGTGCTGCCGTCCTGACTTATAGACGACCCTCATATTGAATTCGTGGAGGCGTAACCTCCAGCGCACTATCCGACCAAATGGGTTCTTTAAGTTGGTCAGCCAGCAAAGAGAGTGGTGGTCGCTGACCAAATGGAAGGGACGGCCGTAGAGGTATGGGCGAAACTTCATAACTGCCCATAATACAGCAAACATTCCTTTCCCTTGGTGGAATAATGGTACTCGGCGCGGGAAAGCGTCCTACTTGCATATGCGATCACTCGATCTACTAAATCTTGGCACTGGAGAGTACAGCGACTAAACCCACGTTGCTGGCATCACATTGCTGACCTAAGTTGGAATAACCACATTTCCAACATATTTAACTCCTCCTTCAAAAAACTGTGTATCTTCAGGCACAAACTAAAGCACACTCCTCATTTTACTAAAATGCTAGCCTACACTTCACTCATTCGCCCGAAACTAGAATATGCAAGCATCGTATGGGATCCCTACACAAAAACTAACATAAACACTCTAGAGATGATTCAACGCAGAGCAGTTAGGTTCATTTTTTCTAAATACAGAATAACTGACTCTCCCACTAGCCTAATGAAACAACATAATATCCAGACACATCAGCTTTGAAGGAAAATACACAGGCTAAAATTTCTCTACCAACTGAAAAACAACTCTTTCTCTCTAAACCCACACGCGTATGTGACACCACTTGCAGCACGTCGAACACGGCATCGCCATGAGTTTTTTTTACATCATATAAGACCAGAACTACCCTTTTCAAATATTCTTTCTTTCCGCGCACTATAAACGATTGGAATAATCTGCATCTATCACAACTAATAAGCACAGACTCCATTGAACATATATCTACTTGATGTTCGCCATTGTCATGTTGATTAATCTTTCATTTCTTATTTTTAGTGCTCCTTTTTTGTATTTCAATTCTTTTTTTTTGTATTTCAAGTGTCTTGCGGGGTTATAGGCAAATGTTTATGCACATGCAATGTGTTCTTACTACTGTTATCTCTTTCTGACGTTGTTTTCATTGATTATGTTTTTCGTATTTCTTCAGTGTACATCTTGTTAAGTTGTGACTTTCTCCTTTCATTTTTTTTTGTGATTGCTGTTCATGGATATATGCATATGCGTATATATATATATATGTGTGTATATATGTGTGTGTATGTGTATATTTATATTCATGTATTTGCCCTCCTGCTTGGACCCAAATAGGGTCTGCAGTATTGTGTAAATAAATAAAAATAAATAAAATAAATCTGTGTGGATCATGGTAGGAGCATCCTCGTCAAAGTGAGCAAGCACAGGTGGTGTCTGCAGCCACTGTCGTAGATCGTTGAATGCTGCTTGTGCCTCTTCGCCCCATAAAAATGGAACACTGTCTCTCATTATGCGTGTTAAGAGCGACGCTATGTGTGAGAAATTGGCGATAAATCTGTGCTAGTAGGTGCAGAGGCTAATAAAACGTTTAACGACTTTCTTATCCGTTTGCACCAGAAATTCTCGGATGGCATTGATCTTGTTGATATGCGGACAAACACTTTCATGGCTCACCACATGTCCTAACAATCGGAGTTCCTTGAAACCGAAATGACATTTCTCAGGTTTCAGCGTTAGGCTGGCGGACCGTATCGCTTGAAATCTAATAGCAGCTGTCCTAGATGTTCCTCGAATGTTACTGAGGAAAAAATGACGTCGTCGAGGTATACCAGACACGTCCTGCCACTTAAGGCCTGATAGGAACGGTATCCACCAGTCTCTGAAATTTTGCTGGAGCTGTGCACAATCCGAAGGACATGACTTTAAACTAGTAAAGCCCGACAGGGGTAACAAAAGCGATTTTTTCTCTGTCTCGCTCTTCGACCTCGATTTGCCAATATCCACTTCTCAGGTCCATCGACGAGAAGAAGCATGCATGCCTCAGCCTGTCAAGCGAATCAGTCAATACGCGGTAATGGGTAGACATCTTTCTTTGTCACATGGTTCAGCTTGCGGTAGTCCACACAGAAGCGTAAGCTGCCGTCTTTCTTCTTAACCAGCACTACCGGTGACGCCCAAGGGCTTTTTGATGGCTGAATGATGTCATTGTCGAACATTTTCTGGACTTGTTCTTGGATTGCTTCGCGCTCTTTTAACGCCACGCGATATGGTTTTTGGCGAATTGGTCTAGCCGTGTCTTCTGTTATAACTCGGTGCTTTGTCAGTGGCGTTTGATTTATCCTCGAAGTCGACGAAAAACAATCTTCGAACTGGCAAAGAACATCTAGAAAACTCTGCCTCTGCTCTAGCGATAAATCTTTGCTCACGTGAACAGGTGGTGGTGCGGAAGTGGCTGATGTCTCTGCCTGTTGCACTGCGAAGCACTCGTGGAATTCTACAATTTCTTTGAAGTATGCAACTGTGGTACCCTCTGTAATGTGTCGACGCTCGTTGCTAAAGTTCGTCACTAGGACCTCTGCTTGCCCAGACACTACACTGACGAGACTTTTGGCAATGGAGATTCCTCGAGAGAATAAAAGTGTAGATACTTGTTCCGCGACACCTTCTCCAATATGCTGAGTATTTTACGTGACAGCGACGAGGCGGAGCTTAACGGTGGCATGGTCGTGTCGTCAATGATGCGCATGGACTTGCGCTGCGCTATGGTCCACTGAGAAGGTCAGTACACCATTCAGTACATTTATGATGGCACCATACTCCCGCAAGAAATCCATACCCAAGATGGCCTGTTTACAACACTCAGTAAGAATAACGATGGTTGCGACAAATGATGAATCCCCGATCTTGATTCGTGCAATGCATTTCCCGATAGGCGTCAGCAGCTGGCCTCTAGCTCCTCTAATTTGCGGTCCCGTTCATTCCATTTTCCTCT